CCCTCACTTCCCATTGAGATCTGTTATTCTGTTTCATGCAACCATGACTTTGGGCCTGTTTTGTTTATCTGTTTCTTTTGTTCATTAGATTCCAAATATAAGTGATATCATGTGATATTTGTCTTTCTCTAACTGCCTTATTTTGCTTAGCACAATAGTCATATTCATTTGTCTCAAGGTATCTTTTGTTTTTTTCTTGATCTCATTGTTAACTGTTTATTTATTTATTTATTATATTTTTTAAATTGATTTTGGAAAGAGGAAGGAAGAGATAGAAACATCAATGATGGGAAAGAATCAATGATGAGAATCGTTAATTAGCTGCCTCCTCCATGCCCCCTACTGGAGATTGAGGCTGCAATCCAGGCATGTGCCCTGACTGGGAATTAAAATGTGACCTCCTGGTTTTTGGATTGATGCTCAACCCCTGAGCCACACCAGCTGGACAAAACCCATTTATTTTTTAGTAACATGTTATTTAACCTCAATGTGTTTGCGTGTTTTTCAGTTTTTTAGTGTAACTGATTTCTAGTTTCTTACTATTGTGATTCGAAAAGATGCTTTATATGATTTCAATCTTCTTACATTTATTGAGATTTGTTTTGTGGTCCAACATGTGGTCTACCCTGGAAAATATGCCATTTGTAATTGAAAAATGTATATTCTGCTGCTTTGGAGTGAAATGCTCTAAAAATTAATTAAACCCATCGAGTATGTCATTTAAAGCCATTGCTTCAATGATGCCAATGAGGTAGATCTCCTACTATGACTGTATTCCTGCCGATCTCTCCTTTTATGTCCATCAAGATTTGCTTTATAGCCCAGACAGTGGGCTCAGTAGTTGAGTGTCAACCATGAATCAAGAGATCACAAGTTTTGTTTGTTCTCTTCCCATATACCCTCTTCTGTCTTCCTTCTTAGATTCAACAGTTTGTTCATGCTTCTTCCTGTATTTTATTAATTACAAAATAAGTTGGGAAACAATTATGTAAATTTTTATTTTGGAAAAATTAAAATTAAACAACATTATAGTGTGAGCATTTTCCCAACTAATTAAATATATTTTAAAACACGATTTTTTATATCTGTATATTATTCTATAATTTGGACCTAGGATAATTCACTTAACTACTCTCTAATTAGTGAACATTTGGATACATATAATTCTAATATTATTACTTTATTTTCATTAAATTTATAAATTTATTTGAAAAGAAATGACAAATTTATGACATTTCCTCATTACATTTAGAAACAAGGTAGATATCTCCACTTATTAATATTTTTATTTTATTGTTTCAAGGTATTTACAGTTTTCTTCTCATACACTTAACTCCTCTTTGATGAATTTATTTAGAGGTATATTACATTTTCATTGTTATTATAAATGGCCTTTTACTTTCATTATATTTTCTTCCTGATTATTATCTTTTATATACTTACTTTGCATCTGGCCATCATTTTAAATTTTCTTATTGATTTTAATAACTTTTTGAAATTATTTTTATGAAAATTCACATCCAATTTTTACTGGTCTTTGGTTAAAAAGAAAAGTACTAGAATGAGAGAAAATTCTGAGTTTCAATTCTTTTAGGAGTGTTGGGGGTTAAATACTTACCTTCTCCCTTTATTCAATACCTCTAAGATAGAATGTGGGAAGGCTGCCTGTGGCTCACTTCTTCTCTCCTCTACCAAGGGATATTGGATAAGACTCTGCAAGTTATTCCTAGCATAAGGGAATCTGTTCAGTAGAAGAAGTTGTGACTGTCCCCTATTGATTTCAGAAAGAGGAAGAGAGAGATAGAAACATTAATAATAAGAATCATTGATTGGCTGCCTCCTGCATACCCTCTACTGAGGATCAAGCCTGCAACCTGGGCATGTGTCCTTGATAGAAATCAAACCTAGGACCCTTTAGTTCACAGGCTGATGCTCTATCCACCGAGCCAAACCAGCTAGGGCTATTTTGTTATTTTTGTGATTTATGTAAAAAGTTCATAGACTAGCTTTGGCCCTGTACCCAAGTTTTAAAATGTCATCCCACATAGAGCCTGACTTGCATCTTTGTATAGCTATAATTAAGATAGACTGGTGAATTTGGTCTTTTGTGCTCCTAAAAACTGGGCACAATTTCACTAGTAAATGAATCTGTGTTCTATCAGAGTAGAACTTATTAACTGAGATGCAATATGATGATTGCAGGCCACTTTGAAAATTAACTGGAGAGTAATATACCTCATTTCAGACATTGGCAATTCTATCTTATTTCTATCCTCAGACTCACACACACTATCCTCTCTGCATGATTAATGTTCATTCTAATAAAAATAGAAAGTACTTTAAAATTATAAAGCACTTAATATATGAATATTTTAAAAAATTTCCCAAGTAATATTGTTTCCAGGTCTTACTTCTATTTTGAGTCAGAATATTTATTCTTTTGCACTGAGTGGTGGTACTAAGATAAAGAAGGAATACATCAAGTTATAAGAACCTAAAAAAGTGACTATTTTCATAAGATCCTGCTCAAGAACTAGTTTTGCTGAGAATAAATTTTTTGAAAAGTCCATTTGAGAAAGAATTTCAAACCCCAAAGGGTCTGTGAAAGAACAAAATTATTCTGAATAAGAAAAGGCAAAGCCAGGACCGGTTTGGCTCAATAGATAGAGCATCGGCTTGGGGACTGAAAGGTCCCGGGTTCAATTCCGGTTAAGGGCATGTACCTTGGTTGCGGGCATATCCCCAGTGGGGGGTGTGCAGGAGGCAGCTGATCAATGACTCTCATCAATGTTTCTAACTCTCTATCTCTCTTCCTTCCTCTCTGTATAAAATCAATAAAAAATATACTAAAAAAAGAAAAAGAAAAGGCAAAGATGTTCAGGTGATGATATTGGCACAAGAACAGACATATAGATCAATGGAATAGAATAGAGAACCCAGAAATCGACCCAAATCACTATGCTCAATTAATTTTTGACAAAGGAGGCATGAATATACAATGGAGTCGAAATTGGACAGATACATGCAAAAAAAAAAGAAAGAAAGAAACTAGATCACCAACTTACACCATACACAAAAATAAACTCAAAATGGATCAAGGTCTTAAACATAAGATAGGAAACCATAAAAATCCTAGAGGAATCCATATGCAGAAAAATCTCTGACATGTCAAAGCAATTTCTTCACTGATACTGCTCCTAGGGCAATGGAAACTAAAGAGAAAATAAACAAATGGGACTACATCAAAATAAAAAGTTTTTGCACAGCAAAGGAAACCATCAATAAAACAACAAGAAAGCCCACTGCATGGGAGAATATATTTGCCAATGATATCAATGATAAGGGTTTAATCTCTAACATTTACAGGGAACTCTTTGCAGCTCAACAAAAAGAAGATAAAAAATCCAATTAAAAAATGGGCAACTGATCTAAATAGACACTTTTTAAAAGAAGACAGAAGGAAGGCCAAGAGACATATGAAAACATGCTCAAAGTCACTAATCATCAGAGAGATGCAAATCAAAACAGCAGTGCAGTACCATCTCAGAATGGCTATTATCAACAAGTCAACAAATGACAAGTGCTGGTGAGGATGCAGAGAAAAAGGAACCCTTGTTCACGGCTGGTGGGAATGCAGACCGGTGCAGCCACTGTGGGTAACAGTATGGAGTTTCCTCAAGAAACTAAAACAATGCAACTCCCATTTGACCCAGTGATCCCACTTCTAGGAATATATCCCAAGAAACTAGAAACACGAATCAGAAAGGATATGTTCATAGCAGCACAATTCACCATAGCTAAGATTTGTAAACAACCTATGTGCCCATCAGCAGATGAGTGGATTAAAAACTATGGCACATCTACACAATGGAATACTATGCTGCAGTAAAAAAGGAGTTCTTACCATTTGCAACAACATGTATGGAGATGGAGAGCATTATGCTAAGTGAAATAAGCCAGGCAGAGAAAAATAAATATCACATGACCTCATTCATTTGTGGAATATAATAAACAACATAAACTGATGAACAAAAAACAGAGACAGAGAAACATCAATCAGAATGTCAAATCTCAGGGAAGGTAGGGGACAGTGGGGATAATGGGGTGAGATCAACCAAAGGACTTATATGCATGCATATAAGCCTAATGAATGGACACAGATAACAGGGGTTTGGGGGCATAAATGGAAGGTGGGGGGTAATGGGGAAATAAGGACACATATGTGATACATTAATCAATAAAGAAATTAAAAATAATTAAAAAATGTTAAAAAAAAGATGTTTGGGCGACTTGTGGGTGATGAGAAGGGGATGAAGAAGATAGGAAATGGCAGCATCAGGTGCACTATGAGAGACTGATGGATATTCATCACGGTGGCCCTTCCTCTGACTTCGCCTAGCCCCAACCTGCAGTCACGCTAATAAACTCACACAGAGCTGGAATGAGTTTGGGTTTTGGATAAAATGTTGGAGGATATGAGTCTCACATCCAGATTGATGTGATCGAACAAGACAGCAGGTAGATTCAGGTGTGGGAGGAGAAGCACATATTAACATGCTTGTATGTGCAGGTGTGAGTGTGTGTGTGTGTGTGTGTGTGTGTGTGTGTGTGTGTGCTGTGTTTAAGTAGATTGTGATGAGGACTCTGGACATTTAATCACTATGAAACTGGGGGCTGGAGACAAATTGACTGGAATCCGAAAAAGATAGTAATGGACCAGTTGACCTTGGATTGTGTATGTTTCTTTAAGTTAAAAAATGCCTGAGAATATCTGGCATTTTTTTTGTTTTCAAATGATATACACAGGAATATTAATACAGCAAAGCCTAGTACAGATAAATGATTTATGAAAAGTCTGGTAAGATCTTATTACTTGCTTTATTGAAACGTATCCCTAAATATATTTCAGGAAATATAGGAAACATACTTGTCTCTCAAATTTACTCAAGACTATTAACCTCTAATTTTATATCACTATATGTACTGCACATATATGGATTCTAGTTCTTGAGGGGCTGTCTTTGACCAAATCTCATAGTCCTCAGCAGTTTTCTCAGGGCCTTCTTTATTTCCTTATTCCGGAGGCTGTAGATCAAGGGATTGAAAAATGGAGTTAACACAGAATAAAATAGAGTCACAATTTTCTGAACCCCTGCTGGATTGCCTGCTGTTGGGCTCACGTACATCACCATGATTGAGCCATAGAACAGGGACACCACGGCCAGGTGGGAGCCACAAGTGGAGAAAGCCTTCTGCTGGCCTTCTGCCGAGGGGACCTTCAGCACAGCTATGATCACAAGGGCATAAGAGCCGGTAATGAAGAGGAAGGTGGAGAAAATCAGGACCGAGTTAAAGACGGCACAGGTGATCTCAGTGGCAGGAGCTGGCACACAGGACAACTTCATAAGGGGTCCTGGGTCACATAAAAAGTGATCAATGATATTGGGCCCACAAAAAGGAAGCTGGGAGATGAGGTAAACTGGGAGGAGAAAACAGGAGAAGCCACACACCCAGCAGCAGGCTGCCATTCTGATGCTGCGTGGAACTGTCATGACAGTGGGGTAGTGCAGGGGCCTGCAGATAGCAAGGTACCTGTCAAAGGCCATGGCAGACAAGAAGAAGGTCTCAGTGGTGCCCATGGAGAAGAAGAAGTAGAACTGGAGGAAGCAGCTAGAGAAGGAGATGGTGTTGGTCTCAGAGAGAAAGTTGGCTAGCATATTGGGGACAGTAGAAGTGACATACCAGATCTCAAGGAATGAAAAATTGGCCAGCAGGATGTACATGGGAGTGTGAAGATGATGGTCCCACCACACTGAACAGATAATGCAAAGGTTCCCAATGAGCGTTAGGACATAGATCACAGAGAAGAGTGAGAAGAGGAGGACCTGGATCTCCCAGGTACCAGGGAATCCAAGAAGAATGAATATGCTCACAGGGTCAGAGTTATTAGTCATTCTGAGGTTTTTCATTTTCTTCTCTCCTAAAACTGCAATAACAAGACATTGCAATGTTACAAATTACTCTACAGAAATTTTCTCATTAAGATGTTCTCCGCATTTCTTTACAATTCAGTTAGCACCATAGTTTTAGATTAAAGATTTTTCAGCATTTTTTGTCCTAATGTGACTCCAGTAGTGGGAGAAAATAAAAAACTTACCATTGTGATCACCATGCCCATAATGATCCATTAAATACCTGCCTGTGTTTGGTATCCTCAACACTACAGAAAATAAGGTAGATGCTCTCTTGCCATTCAGAGGCTTTTAAACTAATTCAGAAACATCAATCTGGGCCCAACATAGGGAGGTTCAAACAATTGTACAGTTTAAGCTCCATGTTCACAGAAGAAAAAAACATAGCAAGAATGAATAGCCACAAAGAAGAGTTTGTTTACAATTGTAATTTTTAATGCTATCAAATGCATAGATTCATAAAAGGCTTCTTTCTAGGTAGTATTAGGAATGTTGGAAAAGAGATAAGGAAAATAACCTTTAATCAGTGATTGTTTACAGCAAGGTCAATTCCAACATTGGTGTGCCCTCTTATTTGAAAAGATTCCATGAAAGAAATTCCACAATTTTCATTGTTAATTTCTCTCAGTGTTTAGTGACATACACAATTCTATAAAATACTCTTTACTTTTACATTGGTCCTCTTTGCAGTTCAAATATTGTTGCTGAAGAGGAGTAAGCTCCACATGAAGTGTCATCTTAAATAAACATTTTACATGAAATTGGTGTGAGCGAATGAGGTTCAGACTACAAACCAACATGATTCTCTTTTAACTGAAATTCACCTTAACTACAGTACACAGGCTTCAGTCCTCAGTTGTAATTTATCAGATACTTGTAAAATACCTTGGGACAATATCTACATTTTGCCACATAGAGCAAACAAAATAAAACTACAGTGTTACATCATTGAAAGCACTCTGGGATTTGAATTACATTACTGTCAATGGACACATATACATATACACACACATATATAACATGTATATACATATACTGTATACACATGCACATATGTATATATATGTAAATACGCACACACATATATTATATACACATACACACACATTATCTGAGGCTCCTATGTAAAGTTCCTCCTGGTTCACATGACCTATAAATGTGTTTTGTAGGACCAAATTCTTGACATTTTCCTTCTCCCACTGTTCTCTCCCTGTATGTGATCTGTCATCTAGTCCTTTACATAAAAACCATCCATGTGGAATGAAGCCGAATTTTGTCTCTACCTATAAAGTCTCTTCTGCAACTTGGATTTATCCACCCAATTTCTTACTCAATATCTCTGTTTGGAATATAAACAACTAAAACACAATATGCCCATTTCTAAACTTTTGGTTCTTCCAACCTCAAACTGATTGACTCCTACTGCTTTGCCACATCATTAAATGACACCTGCATTTGCTCAGTTGCTCAGGCCATAAACGTTGATGACATCTTTACCACCTCTCCTAATACTCTATATCAGCACCATCAACAAATCCACTAGGCTTCATTTTCAAAACATTCAGAATCTGAATAGTTTTTAGCAGTCCCATCAGCTTTCACCATGAAATCCTCAAACTACTGCCAGCGCCTCTTAACTTACCTATTTCCATACTTATACTAGTATATGTAGAGACTATTACTTGTATAGTCTCTAGATGGATAATTTTTAAAATCTAATGTCAATTACTTGCTTCCAATTAAATGCACTTAGGATAAGTCCAAAATTCTTTACCCAGTCCGTACAGAGAATGAGGCCTTCCTCCATGCCCTCATTTCTTAACACTTTTCCTTCTCCAGCTGCTGATACTTGACTATGCTAAGTATGCTCATTCTAATAATGTCTGTGATCGCTCTCTCTCTTCCTCACCATTATTCTCATGCCTTACTTGGCCTTATTCAGATTTCTGGTAAAAATCAGAGACTCAGAGAGGCCATCCCAGTTTAACCCATCTTTGCTACCCTGTTTTCCAATCCTGCTTTAGTTTTCTTCAAAGCACGTATCACCACATGGCATTGTATTATATACTTAGTATGTGTTTTTGGTCTCAACCACCTGGAAATAATTTTTTGCTCATTGAATTATTCCCAGAATCAAGGACAATGTCTGGTATATTACAGATATTTACTAAATATTTGTTTTCTTAATCAATGAACACGCCCTATGTGTAACCAATTAGGAAAACAATTGCTTGGACTGAGGGGGAAAAAAGAAAGAAAAAGAATCAAAGATTGAAATCTTCAGTTTCCTAATAAAAACAAATAAGCAAGCTCCCCCCCCTCCAATCCCCCCAAAAAAGCAAGGTAACAAGGACTTTGCTATGGTGTCACACTTCAGTCTAAGTAACAGGAAGATATCCATGACAGGAGCCCACTTCAGGCAATGCCATCCAAGGTACCTCTCTCTTTGAGTTACTTCATCTTTCTTTGTGTCTCCTTTATCCACTCTATTTGTGCTCTGTGCTTTCTTACTGTTGCTAAGTTGTAATCATGCTCTAAGGGTAGGTATGTGTGTATGTAACAGTATATGCACTGCTTTTTTGTTGTCTTCTGTTTCTATTACTGGTTATCCATATCTTTAAACATTTTATTGAATGCTTTTATAATCTTTTCTTTGCATTTTAAATAGGTAAGTGAACTGTTTTAGATTGCTCCCTCTTAAAGATCATGTGGGTATAGTCTATAACTGACATTTACTTCCCATGTAACTAGCCAATGTGCTTTAATAGAAAAATGTTCTTCTCTTATTGCCTGATATTTTCTTCTGCCCCATATTCAGAGTTAGGAAATCTGGTATATATGACTTGAATAAGTAATAAGTTATAGAATAAAGTTGCCATTCCACAAATTTTCCTATCTTATGTGGTTTTTGGTTTAGTTGATATCTGAAGTCAAGTAAAATATTGTTATTTTTATTAAATATATTTACTTAAATACAAATAAATAAAACACATATTTTTATATAACATTCTTGATAACATAATATCAAGAATGTTATATAACAACATTTATTGAGACCAGAATTTATTCTGGACATTGTGTTATATAGTTGAGAATTGAATCAACTTCTAATATAGGCAAGCTAATTTACATTTCTTTCAATCTTAGACTAACTTTATTTTTTATTATTTTTCAATTGACATACAATATTATATTTTTCAGTTGACATACAATATTATTTTATTTTCAGGTGTACAGCATAATTATTACAGATTTATTTACCTTATCAAGTAATCACAGCAATAAACCTAGTACCCATCTGACACCATACAAAGTCATTACAATAGTATTGATTATATTCCCTATGCTGTTCTTTTCAAACCGTGAGTATTTTCTGGATACTCGTCACCTTTTTAACCCTAATTTACATTTTATGTGGAGAAAACACAACACTTTTAGAGGAAGATGAAAAAGACATTATGTAAAATCTAAGCTGTGCCTTACCTGAAGCTGTTGTTGAGAATTACAGAATCCAGCAGAGGGCAGACATCCAAATTTGGGTTTCTCTCTCACAGACAGTGCAGTCAGCCTCAGTTTCCTTGTTCTCTTATTTTAGCAGGAGAAAGTGTGCGGCAAAACCAACACAATGGTGCTGGCATCCAAATTTCTTCGAAGGCTTTCAAAAGGGCGTGAGTGTTGGAAAGTAATATCAAGAATAGCAGTTACAGAATGAGCATGTTGTTTAAACAGCATGAAAAGATAGTGACACGCAGTTGTAAAGAGCACTGTGGTCTTTTCTGATCTGAGAAGGACCAATTACATCCCTGTCTCTAAAGGAAAGTACGCAGCCAACACATTCTGAGCCATGGCTGCTCTGTCCTGGGCAGCCCATCTTGGAGAGCTGTGCCTCAGAGCACTCTGTGTGAGCACATAAGCCTTCTGCTGAGCTCCAGGCCACATACACTTTTAAATAAACATGTCAAGGCTTGTTTCTGACCCTCCTGGGGTGTCTGACCCAACTTTCCCCAGTGGCCTCAACTAGGGATAACAATGAGAACATTTTGGCCAGATCTCAGAAAGTATTCCTCTAACTGAGGTCTAAATTGGTCCAACCTCCAGGGGAATCAGGAAAGATCATGAGGCCTGGGTCTAAGCTGAAGAATAAGTTGACCTTAAGCAAATATAGACACATGAATAAAAAAAGAACCTGAACTATAAGCAGAAGTGTCAGTATATATATTTATAGTAAGGCAGCTGTGTTTTCCCACAGAATAGATGATACTGGATTTAAAACTGAAGATGTAAAAGCAAAGGGTTCTACAAATCCCAAGAATAGAAAGGCAGAGTTAGTTATTGCAAATCCTTCCCATATAATAAAAGGCTAATATGCAAATTGACTGAATGATAGACTGACTAGTTGCATGACATGCACTGACCACTAGGGGGCAGACGCTCAATGCAAGAGCTGCCCCCTGGTGGCCAGTGCACTCCCACAGGGGGAGCGCTGGCCAGAAGCCAGGCTCATGATTGGTGAGCACAGCAGTGGTGGGAGCCTTTCCTGCCTCTGTGGCAGCTCTAAGAATGTCCACCTGCCAGCTTAGGCCTGCTCCCCGCATCAGTCAGGCATTCCCTGAGAGCTCCCAGCCTGTGAGAGGGCGCAGGCTGGGCTGAGAGACCCCCTGAGTGCATGTTTTCATACACTGCACTTACGGTAATTTATAAGATACTTCAAAGAGTCACTTCATCTATTCTATTCTTTCCGTAATTCTATACATATGCCAGCCCCAGGCCTGCTGTGGTAATGTTGGGATTTTTACATTAGTTCCATGAGGACTTGACTGTCATCTACCGCCTCACTTGTTTGTGAATTTGCCCTTTTAATCTCAATTCAGCCAAAGAAAAGCAAATCAAATATTTGAATCAACGTTTTTGCCACAATGTGTGACAAATGGAGGGAATGATCTCACCCTGTTTGATTCTACGGAGATCAGACACTGTGCCCTTACAAGTTCTGGGGT